AAATTTTAGTTTTCCGCTAAATATATTAAGTCTTCTGGACGAATTACAAGTAAGTCATCTATTTTCTGGAGGACTTACAAGTAAGTCATCTATCTTCTGGAGGACTTACAAGTAAGTCGTCTGAATCGAAAATATTTAACCTAACTAGGTTTTTTGTCTCCCTATATAGAGAAAATTTTACACATTCTCTTTCCTCCTCTCAAATGGCACAAAAACTAAGGTTCATCATTCTAAAACTCTCTAACCTCTCTCTAATCTCTTTTAACCCATAAACACCAAACTTTATATCAATTTATTATTTTTGTCTCATGTCTTTCTCACTAATTTATATTGTTTTTGCAAGTTTTTCATCACATGGTTCTCATCTTCCACTCATTTAAAGGTAGATCTATTAATTTTAGATATGTATTTTTGTGTGCTCTATAAAGGTAGATTTATCTAATTTTCCATTTATTTTCTTTATTTTTAAGCCATTTGAACGTTTTTGGATATGCGGATTTTTCAGATCTGGATTTGGATATGCAGGTTTTTCAGATCTGCAATACTTCTGACCGAGTCTTCTCCCATGTATCTCCCTTTCATAACAGATCTGAGTGTTTTGGTAAGTTTTTATGTCTGATTTTTCTTCATTTGGTAACTCCTGTTGCATAAAGTTCTTATCTTTCTCACTAATCTATATTTTTTTGCAGGTTTTTCAGATCTGAGTTTGATATACATATTTTTCAGATCTTTATCAAATTTTGGAAGACTTATGGGAAGTCTTCTAAAATATAATGCGCTATACGACTTCCAGGAAATCTTCCAAACGACTTCCAAGAAGTCTTCCAGACGACTAAAATACAATAATCTATAATATTTTGTTTGTGGTATTTTTGTGATTTGCATGTGTACTCCTTTAATTGTGCTTTTTTTTTGTAAAACCAGTGATAATGTTTCCAAAGATGTAATATATGTGCTAACAATATTTTTACACATTTACAAATCAATAAAATAATAAAATTTTTAATAGTCTTCTTCTCATCTTTTGATCTCCCATATGTAATAATAAACTCTAATGGCCTTCTTCTCATCTTAATAAACAAAAAATTTGGTAGCCTCGTATTGGTACAACATTTTAATCCGTCTTCGAACTTATTCAAAAACTAGCGAAGAAGACTTCCACGAAAGTCTTCTCAGATCAGCTAGAAAGTTTATTTACCATTAATGTTGGTAACCTCATAAATATCACTAATTAATTTATAAATTTCATTCAGTAGCTCTAATATTAACTAATATACATGAATTAAAAAAAACAATATTAAAAAGTCTTTATAGGTTTAGAAAAAATGAAAGTTTATTAAACATTGACGTAGACGACTTTAATGGAGGTCGTCTGGATGACTTCTAGGGAAGTCGTCCATTTAGGTTAGTTTTGCAGTTAATTTTTAACCTAGACGACTTACGCGCGTAAGTCGTCTAGGGGTAACGAGTTAGTTTTGCATTTGACTGGAATGTGTCAGAAATTTGACTTTTCCTGGACGAATTACATGTATAAGAAAGATTTACATGTATAATAAAGATAAATTTTGTTTTGCAATTGAAATATTAAACAAAAAAAATTGTTTCTAGACGACTTACATGTAAGTCGTCCAAGATAAGCAAGGTTTGACAAAGATATAAGCAAGATAAATTTTGTTTCCGTGTAAGTCGTCTAGTAAAAAAATTGTTTAATATTTCAATTAAAAAACTACCTAAGACGACTTACATGTAAGTTGTCTAGAAAAGACAAAATATTACTTTTTAATTTTTTTTCTGGATAACTCCAAGAAAAGTCAAATTTCTGACATATTATGGTCAAATGCAAAACTAACATGTTTTCCCTAGACGACTTACATGTTATTTTGTTATCAAACAAAGGTGGACGACTTACATTCGTCTTAAAAAAAAATTTAAAATTCAAATACAAAACTAACTTCTGCATTGATCAGACGACTTCCACGTAAGTCGTCTACACCCAGTGAGATAACTTGTTTAGACGAACAGTGAGATAACTTGGAAGTCGTCTGGACGAACAGATCTGGAAAAATTCTCCATTTAATAGTTCTAACCAGTGAGATAACTTGTTTAGCACAGAGAAGTCTTCTCCAAGTACCCAGAATCCCAAACAAAAGTAACCCACTAAGAATCGTAAGCTTTAATGACTCTATGAACCATAAAATTTTCAGATGCAAAATTTTGGGTTTTTTTGGATGAATATAAAGAGAAAGTGAAAGAGATGTTGTTTTTAGTTCATAAGAATTGAGAAAGAAGAACTGTACTTGAGGTGCATTAAGAGCTTCAAAATGGTTGTTTATGGTGGTTGGTGTATTGATGGCAATGCCAATATTGTAAATACTTGAAGATGATGAGTTTGAGAGAGTACAATTGGCATTTTCGAAAAAATAAAAAATAAAAATTAATGGAATTTTTGTAAATAATGTGAATTTGTGGGGGTGAATAGGAAAAAAAACAAAAATCCAAAAAATCATAGTTAGTTTTGTAGTTGACTTTATGTTTTGAGTCATTTTTGCTAATTGCCCAAATAAGATTTAAAATATTTTAAAACTAGAACTACACAACAACAATATTACAAGATTTAATGTGGCTTTGTTTATACTTAATAATTTAATTATACAGTAAAACCTCTATAAATTAATAATGTTGGAACTTTGATATTTTATTAATTTATAGAGATATTAATTTACAAAAGTTTTCATATTTAGATTTTTTTTATTTTAAAATAACAAAACTATTTGATTTTAATGTATAGACATTAATCATTATTTTTAAAAATTTTACATTTATATTATTTTTATATTGTTTGGTATGTAATATATATTTCATAAAATTTAAATGTGATTTTAGATATATATTACTAGATCTCATCAAAAATATATTATATAGTAAGAAAATGTAAAGATAATTCCATTGTGAATATAAAACAAACAATAGAATGATAGGTTTTTACTTATATAAAATATGTATATATAGAAATTATAAATTTATAATTTTAATGGTACTATATATTTACATAGAATATTCTAAAATTTTATTATCTTATTATTTTACGATTTGTGTCAAATTTTGAACCGACCCAAGTTGGGATCGGTGAAATTTATTAATTTATAGAGATTATTAGTTTATCGAGTATTAATTTATAGAGTTTCTACTATATGTTTCTATTTATAATTTAATATTTTGGTCTGACGTTTTATCAATTAATATTGCTGTAAGATTTTTTATATATGTGATAGTTATTTATAAAAGTTCTATGAATTTAAATTAGTTATGAAAAATATAAGGACTATAGTATAGAATACAAATAGTTTTGAAGTTAAGTTTGGAATTTTACTTTTGGAGCATAATACTTTTAAAAACTCTGAAATAAAGAATCTTTTTGGAGATGCTCTTACTGAATCAAAAATTAAATAAAAATCAGAAAATTAGACTAATTTTTAAAAAAATTAAAGAAAATAAAGAAAAATTAAAGATTAAATTGCAATACAGAAAACTAATTAAAATTCAAAATTAAAAAAATAAAATTCACGAGAATTAAAATTCAGAAATAGTGTTTTTAATTACAAGGTTATGTTTTTAATAAAATATTTGAAACCATCATCGTAAACAGGAAAATGTTTGAAAATTTTATTGTCAATGAAGGATATGTTAGTTTTATTGGAAATTCGCTTAAAATTAAAAGATTGCTTTTAAAAAAAACTGAGATATCATCATTGATTATGAAAATTTTGAACATATCATTATGACGATGATGGTTCCAAAACAATTTCCTGAAAAACATAACTTGTAATTATATTTAGAAATTATTTTGAAATTTATATTTTAATTTATTTTTCATTTCTGAAATTTTTACTTAATTTTCGCTATTTTAATATATTTTATCATTTTTAAAAAATATATATAATTTCTGGAATGTTTTGTTTTTTGTTTAATTTTCTGAATCTTAATTTAGTTTTCTATTTTTAATTTATTTTTTGTTTTTTGTTTAATTTTTAATTTTTAATTATTTTATTAATTAAATAATTACTTTTACAAAAGCATTTACATGTCATCGTTTTTTTTTTTGCCTGTTCAACAAGTCAGTGAATAACATTTTCAGAAGTTTTTATGCATTTTCCTCAAAAATTTAAATTTTCCATAGATACATGTAAAAGAATATATTAAAGACTATTTTGCCCAAAAATCCATACATATCTTGAGCCGGTCCTGAAAAAAAGATATGATATTTGTTGGCTACTGTACCTCTTTTCAAGCTAATATATAATAATCTATTAGATGACAAAACAGAGATAAACTAAACTAGGGATGGAGTGGATCTGGATATCCAGAAAATTTGAAGTATCCGGATCCAGATTTGGATTCGTCGGATCCGTGATTTTAGTATTCGGATTTGAATTCGTGTCTTTCGGATATCCGGACTTCGCATATCTGTCTAGATATTGTGATATCCGCGGGTATCTGGATTCGGATTCGTATCCATAAAAATAATTAAAAAATTAAAATAAAAAATTCTAAAAATAATATATAAACTAAATATTTAAGCATAATTATGAATATCTATATGGCATATAATATTATTAATATAAAAGTAGAATATTATTAAACTTATTTTTATGTATAAATATTAATATATCATATATAATTAATAAAAAATAAAAAAATTAATATATTTTTTAAAATACGGATCCGAATCCAAATATCCGGATCTAAAATTAAGATATCCGGATCCGGATTCGGTTTACACGGATCCGATATTTTAATATCCGGATTTGGATCTGGGCATCTCCGGATATCCTAATTTCGGAGCGGATCTCAGATCGAATCCGGATAAAAGTCCCAGCCTAGACCAAACTGACAAACAGGAAAATAATTAGAAGAAACTGGGAAACGTACTAAACATGTGGACTGCCAAATGGAGAACAATAGAACTTGGGCGCAAAACAACGTTTTTTTTTAATGTCCATGGAACTTTGAAAATCTGAATAATATGTCTGAGATTTTGTAGGAACAGAGTTATACCCATAACATCCACAAACAAGCTAAGACTGAAACAAGAATAAAACAAGATTTGGTCTATTAGGATAACAATTCAGAGTACCTACAAATCAACAAACTCACTGAAACTCAACCAAATCTTATCACAACAACTAGGAAACAAGTTCATGATGATCAATCATATAAACACTTCAGTCTTTTTTATTACTACCCCAAGGAGAACAAATCTTTTCCAACCCCTTTCCAAGAGAGCATCCGAGTCCAGCTCTTTCCTTCTCCGGTGAGACAGACCGAGAACGCTTAGGAGAAACAGAACCGTCAACCTCATTCTTCTTGGGATGGATGTTTTCAATGACGGCCTCAATTTCTTCATTAACTCTCTCGAAAACATTAGGAGCTTTCACTTCATTCACGGGCGTGTTCTCATCGATATCATCACTCCTTCCATGAGTTTCTTTGTGATGCTGATGGTGATGATGTCGATGAGGTTTCTCCTTGGAATGGAACAGAGATTTGATTTCTTCCTTGGCCTTTCTGATCACATTCGGTTTCTTCTTCCCATCTTCTGTCAATGTGAAACAGAATTGAGTCTTGAACAAGAAGCAAGAACCGAACATACACAAAAAAAAAAAACTCAATAAACTAGACAAAAACCGAACCTTCTTTCTCGGATTTGAATTCCATCTTATCAGATTCGTCCCTACCATAAGCAATTGCCAAAACAATATAATTGAATTCATCATCGTATTCATAAACATTAAGACAGAGAGAGATAGAGAGAGAAACAAAAAACAGACTTGGAACTCTTGCGTTGATGAATAGCACCAATAACAGCATCGATCTCTTCTTTGGCTCGTTCGAACATGTTTGGTGCTTTGACTTTGCTCTCATCGATGTCCGAACGATGTTCATCACCTAACACAGACACGCACACACGTTCCATATAACATGAGATCCACAACTTATCCACACATCGGTAATAACGTTCATCAACCTCACTAAATCACACACTAAACCCTAGAAAAAATAAATCCGCGATGAGAATAGCCAAATTGGCCTGAAAAATCTCGAAATAAAACAAGTAAACACAGAATCTCATAATCAATTTATATAAAATCCAGATTCATACATCATCGCAATCAATCGCACCGTAGAAAATCAGTTCTCGATTTACCTGAAACAGTGTTCGGACCAGTCATCCTTTTCTGATAGACGGAGATTAGGATTTTTCTAGGGTTTTTGCTCAGAGAGACAATTTTCTGGGAATATACGTTGAAGGAATTTGTATCATCTGCACAAGGTAAAAACATAGGACTGGTTGGTCTCTTTTTGAAAACGAACCAGACTGGATTACCAAAAGATTGGGTCCCACACTTTCAATGTTTTAAACTAATCTTCTATCTTCTATAAGATAATGACTAGATTTTCATTTGAAAGCGCGGGATACATTTCTGGTGAAAACATTATATAACTAGGTGTTTTGCCCGCACTTGCGGGCATAATTCTCTTATGAATATTTATTAGTTAATGTTTCATTAATTTATTACTTATGTTTTCAAAAATTAAAAATCAAACATCAAATAATTATAAATGACAAATCTCAAACATAAGAAATATTTAAAAGAATATAGTTCTATAATTATTTTGCTTGATTTATAGTTAATTATAATATTTATACAAATATTTTTCCTTAATTTATATTTAATTATAATTTTTTATATCTTAATTTTAAATTTTATAATATAAAAACATATTTTCAAGATAAAAAATAATGCATAAATTATTTATTTTTCTAAAAATATAAAATGATAAATTTGTTTTAATTATATAACAGTTATATAAGATTATAGAAATGATGACATATAATTTAATTTACTTAAAATCATGGAGAACTTAACAAATCAACAAATTCATTTCTTAAATAACTTTGCTTGAGTGATTTTTATTTAATTAATAATAGATAATTTTTCTATTTACTTTTAAATTATATAATATAAAATATATTTTCAAGATGACAACATAATACCTATGAATTACCTTATTTTCTAAAAGTATAATATAGTGTAAATTTATTTTAACTATAGAATAATTACAAATTTTTAAATTTTAATTTAAAATATATAATATAAAAATATATTTTCAAGAAAACAACATAATACATAAGAAGTGTCTTATTTTCTAAAAATCGGATACTATTAATATAAATTTGTTTTAAATATATAATAAATTATATATAAAATTATATAAATTATAATAATTATCAAAGTTACCTAAAATCATGGAAAATATGACAAACCATCAAACATTAAATTCACTTCTTAAATAATAGTATAGATTTTTTACATGTTAATTTCAAATTGTATAATAAAAATATATTTTCAAGATAACAACATAACACGAAACAATTAACTTATTTTCTAAAATATCATATTATTAATATAAATTAGTTTTAATTATATAATCAATAACAAAACAAAATTAAAGAAATTATGATAAGTGATCAAAAATACCTAGGATCTTGGAGAAGTTGACATATCAACAAATTCACTTTTCAGATAATTTTTTTGATGATTTAAATTTAATTATTAATAATATAATTTTTATATCTTACTTTTAAATTTTATAACAGGAAATTATATTTTCAACATAACAACATAATACATAAGAATTATGTTACTTTAGAAAAATATAAAATTATTAATATAAATTCGTTTTAGTTATATAATAAATATAATATTTTTTATATCTTAATTCAAAGTTTAAGTTTTATATATAAAAATATAGTTCAAGATAACAACATAACTCACAAGAATTATCTTGTTTTCTAAAATTATGAATTAATTTAAGTTTTATATATAAAAATATAGTTCAAGATAACAACATAATTTACAAGAATTATCTTATTTTCTAAAAATATGGTATATTCATATAAATTCGTTTTATTTTTAAATAGATTATATATAAATATTAAAAATATGATAAGTAAACAAAATTACCTCAATTTATGGAGAACATAACAACTAAACAAATTTACTTCTTAAATAATAGTATAGATGGTCAGATCTTTTTATTTAAAGTATGTTTGAGTATAAAATATAAACCCGAAGTCTAAACCCAACCCTAACTACAAAAACCATATTCATACCCGGTCTTAATGTAAAAAAGTCTTGTATAGCGGTAATGGTATAAAACATATCAAACCCCCGAAGTATTATTAGTCAATCTAAACCGATAATCCAAAAATATTTGAAAAGTTTTGAAAACCGATTTGAATGTTCAAATTAATCAAAAATATATATTTTGAAACATAAATATATAATTTGAATATTCAATTCTATTTTCAAGTGATTTTTAAAAATAATTATTTAAATTTTATAAAATACCTTAAATATCTGATTCTATACAAATAAGTATTTATTTCTAATGTCTTACTTTAAAATTGTGGATTAAACTTCAGATATACCCGGACCGAACCAGTATAAACCACATTTTAACGATATATGACTATGGTTTTGGAATGTGATACAAATTACAACCAAAATCATTCTGTTATTTCCAAACCTCAATTCGTATTTACAAATTTATCACAATGAGACTTAAGATTTGATATAAATTAGAACTAAAATTCAAAATACCCAACCCGTATCCTAGCGGATACATGAATGCTCAAGTCTAACTTAAAACCTAATTTAGATGGTCTGGAATTTTTTATTCAAAATTTATTTACCCAAAATATAAATTATATATATATGTATATACTTTTATAAGGAAACATTTTTTAAGTATATTAATTAAATTAAAATTTGTATAAGTATTTTTTTTTGAAAGTAAGATAATTCATTTATATAAGCCACCTCATACTAATTTCATTTATATTTAAAAATTAAAGGTATAATATGAATCTATTTTTATTGTTTACATTTTTATGAAATAATCTGCAACAAACTATAATTGTAAATCATAATATTTAGTCGAGTATACCATATAATCAAATAATATTAATGTCGGCTAAATTTTGTATTGTATTTTATATTAAATTATATCCTAATATTATATGTATAAAAATATAAAATTATTTTTTATTTTAAATATCTTATTTTAGAATTTTGTTTTAGTAATTTTAAATATGTTGTAAGCTATATAAATATTTTATTCTGTAAATGTAATTCATTTAGTTTATAATTTATAAAAATCTGTATTAAATTATTTTATAAATATTATTTAAAGTAATTTTTAATATGAATATTTATATATATAAATACTATAGAAGTTTTTTTCTTATTCTATAAATCAAATGAGTTAATATTCATTTATAATTGAATTTAATATTATTTACGATTTTTCTTATTAAAATAATATTAAAACAGTAAATATTTATATTTTAAATAAAAAGATATAAGATATTGTTAAAATGCAATTTGAAAATAGTAGTTAAGAAGATCTTTTTGATATCTTATTTTGAATATATTTAAAATAATATGTTAAGGTTATGTGTGTACTTGATAATAATTAAGTATATTGTATGTAAAATAACACAAAATTAAATAAATATAATGATACAACCTAGAGTACTTCCAAATAGATAAAAATTGCTTCTATTTTAATAGTATTAAAAGAAAATAAAATTAATTGTGTTTATACATTAATACATATTTAGTTACAACAATATATGCATAAACCAACCCAGACTACATCTCAATCATTAATTACTTCTCTAATAATTTATATTATATAAAGGGTTCTACAGATATCAACTAATATGTATAAAGCAAATAGTTGGACATCTTGTTTGAATCGTGTTTCGTATAAATTTTTTTGTTCATGGTCTATATTTTGGTTACAAGTTCTTTCATACTGTATGCATTGGACTTACGATTGTCAAAGTAATATTGGTTGGAGGGTAATTTTTACAATTTTGTCGACAGACCATCAATATCATATTTGTAAGTATATTTGATATATAATAATATCACACTGTGGTATTCAGGAATTTTGGTAAGTAAGATTTGATTAATATTGTTTTAATATTTTTCATTCGAATAGTTGTTAATGATAGTAGGAATAATCTGAAACTTTATGCTGTTGATAACTTAATATAATCTATCTTTTTTTTATAATGAGATTGTGTAATGTAGTATAAAATTGTTAAAATATGGTATAAATATATATTAACTAAGTATAAAATAAGATGGATTAAGATTTTTTATATATTATATAAAACAGGCTTGTAATTAAGACTAATAATAACAATTTCTGTAATATGTGTTTTTGAAAACGCCTGCAGCTATAATATGATGTTGTTCATGGTTTCATATATTTTATAAACAATGAATGAATAGTTTGTTTGTTGAAAAAAAGCAAATATTTAGTGTTCAAATATATTTCATTATTAAGATATACTTCCGTAAAAATAAAAGATATACTCCCGCAATGTAGGGGTGATTGGTGCATTAGATGGATTTATTGTTCTTTTAGAATATTTCCATACACAAAATTAAATTTAATTTAAATAAGTAATATCAAGAATAAAAATTAAATGTAATGGCAATTGAATGTAAATAAGTGCAAAAACTAAGGGCAGAATCCTAATAGGGATTCTGTTTTAATAGTATAGATTCAGTTTCAAGAGTTATTAAGTTGTCCACGTCATTATTAATGGATCCCACATTTTTTTAGTTCACCTAAATTGTATACTTATTGATTTTGTATTTATATTTAGCAGAAACTTTTGATCTTCCACGTCTCCTCTTCTGTTCTGTCTCTTTTCTCTGTGAACTAACCAAGCAATGCGATGCATATTCTCCTATTTTGTGACTGGTATGTTCCTCTCCGCATATCTTTTTCTATATCTCTACTCTTTTGCGATTCTCTCTCACTCTTCACGTCTGTTTTTCTCATTCCTCAGATTTCTGCTCCATGTCTCTGCTCCTGTCTCTCCATCTCCACTACCAGCTCTGTCAATGGTAAAGAAGCCCCATTTAGATCAACAAATAATTAACTTTCTCATCAGCACCTCCTCCTCCACCCTTACCACCTCCTCCTACCGTTCCAGATCCTCCACGGAATCAATCGACTAATGACCACCAAAAAGTTACCTCCAAGCCGTGGAAACGTCCTCCATCGAAGCAGTAGCACAACAGGCTTTATCATGATCTCCATACTAAAATTCGGAAGAAGAGAGAGACCGTGAAAAGGTGAAAACGTTTCACAAGTCTCAGGCTGCCAAAGCACACACGGAGAAGAGGAAGCCTACGCCTCTTCTCACTACTGATAGGGTTGAGAATCGCTTAAAGAAACCAACCACCTTT